GAATCCCCATATATAAGATTTGAAAAAATTTTTTTATTTCTACTCTGTTCCCTTTTCTGTATTTATATACATAATTGTGGCAGCATATAGCTTTTATAGAAGTAATTATTTTATCCATCATGTGTTTGTGGTTTACGTATCACTGTGGGGTTTTCTCTAGGCTTTTAAAGCTCTTTTTTTTTTTAAATAAATCAGTTCCTGGCTGTGAAACAGCATGTAAATGCTCTTATTGCCTAGTCTATATATATATTTATTTATAAGCAACATTGATATTCAATCTTATTTTATGTCATTTTATGAAAACCTAGTTATTGAAATTCAATTACATGTGTCTGTAGTACAATATCATTGTTCTAATTTCCTTACTGCTAGCACTACAGGTACAGTGGGATAGTACCACTGATTTAAGTAAGCTTCCCTTTTAAACTTGGTGGACTTTAATCCTTCTGTCATTGCAATAGACTAAAGTCTGTACCTGAGTAAGCAAAGTCATTATGTGCAGGAATTGTGCACTTTAAGTAATAGAATACTTATGCTATTCTAGTGAATTGGGCTGGCTGCTTAACACATCATTTAGTATCTTTCGGTCACATTTAAAGCTGTAAATGTATTTAACATTGTATTTAAATAAACCTTTCAACAATTTCAGTTTTAAAGTTATCAGAGATCCTGTATATTTACAATTTTGTTTTGCCATGATTTCTCTTACATATATATTATTTTTATTTATTTAAAAAATATTTATTTTTGCACAGCATTTAGAGAAGCAAAGGATGTATAACAACTTGTTGCCCTTCTGTTATTTGTTTTTTTTTTTGTTTGTTTTTTATATTAACATATATTCTAGGAGGGTAGTATAAAATATATGCTGCAGTGTGCTGCATTGTATTGCAATGAATGTATTTAAAAGCTATGTCTTTCTCTTTATGGCTGTATGTAATAAAGTTGTTCATAATTTGGAATATAAAAAAAACAACAACTTCTCAATTCCTTGGACTGTTTATATGTCTCTGTATCTCCGCAACTTTGGCTGGAAACTCCAGACTCCAAAAATAGTTATGCTATTATAACTCCTGATGTTTTAATCAACAGCAAGTGTAACTGATAATATGGAAATTATCACTGTTTTATAAAACTTTTCATATATAGTGGATATTACAATCCAGAAGGCAGTAATGCAATAAGTAAAAATCCTGTCTGTCTGTTGCTTCTGTGGCATGAATGTTTTCATTAAGCCATAATGCAATTTTCTTTGCATTCTTGGAATTAGACTTCGAAATCTATTAGTAATATAATAGCAAGTCTTTCATCGCTCTGTCTTATCACTTTTCTTTTGACATCTTGCATTAATCTTTTTCCTGCGCATGCATACTAAGCAGCTACAAAGAGAACATACCCCCTGCCTGCAATCCACTGTCCTGGAACTAATGGGCCATGCTATGCTGGTGTATTAGGCATATTAGGGAGTTTACCAAATATGTATATCTGTTCTCCTATGATATTAAGGTCCACAATCGCAGCATTGTATGCTAATAACAATGTACCTGGCACCTGAACTCAAAGTGCCTTGTACAAGTTCACATTAAAATCATCTCTTCATGATGAAGATCTCTCTCTGAGTCTGGGCTACAAATAGCTCAGTAGACTCTTGCTATTTCAATATTTGTGCTATGACAAAGTATTGTGTCTTCTTCTATATATAAGAGGTTACTTATTATTTTATAGTTAAAGCTTCCAATTACAAGCCCCACATTGGGCGCCAATTATAACCGTGGCTGGTTTCCTTATTTACTACTATAACGTCTTAAAGCATAGAACTTAGTAGGGCTAACCATACAGATATCTTATCCATAATATTATATTGTTAGTAAGAGATCCTCTATTTAACATAGATAAATAATTGAGAATACAATATAAAATAAGGATTGTCTTGGAAGCAATAAAGTTTTGTCTTTTAGAGATTTCTTATATAAAAATATAAATATAGACATATAAAATCCATTACAATAATTTATAGCAGGGTTTATAAGATTAAACTAAATGCTTGCAAATATCAATAATAGATTAACATACCCTCCTGAACATGTCATCATGTAAGCCTCTCTTTCATTTTAAGATAGAGCGTCTGTCTCCAAATCTCTCCTCTGTCCCTTAACATTTAAAAGTACACCTATTTATACCTTAGGTGTCTTCATTTAAGATTCACCATAGTTCATATATGAAAAAGTAACTTCTTTTACTTTTATTCATTTTAGGATCTCCCTTAACTTGGAAAAATACAAGGCCCTAGCTAAAGGGTGTACACGTCATTGAAATTTTCCTGACTTAGGTCAAGATGGCATCTTAAAGTCTGAACATCTTTATCTACTTAGGGTTACCGCAGTATATTATGTACTGAAAGAGTCATAGCATAGCCTTGGAACTTGTTTATGCATTATTGTTATTGTAATTCGTCTGGGGCAAAATGGTGCAAACATAATATGCACTGAAGGTAAGTAAGAAGTTATTGCTTAAAGGAACATCTATGAAAACCAATATGTTCAATTTCTAACACCTTGTCAGTTTGCAATATCTCTTAAAGACAACGTACACAGTTTGAGGAATACAATATTTGCATTTGCCCATAACAACCTTAGATTCCTCTAGAGTATATAAAGTCATTTTTGTGACAAAGAGGAGAATGCAAATATGTTCTATTTTTGAAGACACCAGCTTCCTATTTTGTGCTTGGTAAGGAATAGTTTATAAATCCTTTCATTGTGTTTAATATTAAATCTAAAAATTGATGTAAAATGAAAAATAACATCTTGGTTGTATGTCTTTCATTGGAAAGTCTGTTACAAAAAGTTTCATGAGGTAATTTCAGGAAGAAATCTGATACATATGCACAGTAAAGGGGAAAAAATAATGTATTGTTTTTTAAAACCACCATGAAGCAATGACTGGCTGCCAGGTGTTGCTTTTTCAAAAACATTATCTGTCAAATTGTAACCATTCAGCAGTCAAAAAGTTATTTAAGGAAAAAAGCAATGTTCTTCTAGCTGTCAAAACCTATTAAAAAACAAGATGAGTTTCTCCAGAATCAAAAGTAAGTTGTGAGGCAACTGCAAGAGTTCACCAGGTGCATTGGGCAGTAGGTGGCCAGATATCACTGATCCCTTCCTCACTTTAGGGGCTGTAGAATCAGTGGTACATTCAGAGGTGGCTAGTGATATTTTTATATTTCTTTTTTCATTTGTTTAACTCGAGTGCCAGAGCTATGACTAGCACATAATATCCATGGATGACATTGCAATGTGATTTTACTAATTAGAATACAGAACTGGAAAAAGAAAGAACCAAAATTAGAAGCATGAACAAGCAGGGGAAAGAAACATACCTTATAAACACAATTCTTTACCTAATGCTTTCCTATGGACTGGCTGAATGCACGCGCGGCTCCTGCCGCGCATGAGCATTCAGCCGGAGAGGAGGAGAAGAGGGAGGAGAGGAGGAGAAGAGCTCCCCGCCCAGCGCTTGAAAAAGAGGTAAGTTTAAGCCCTTCCTCTCCATCCAGCCCGGCGGGTGGGGGCACCCTCAGAGCACTATAGTGCCAGGAAAACGAGTATGTTTTCCCGGCACTATAGTGGTCCTTTAAACACAACACTAGTGATAAAATAGCACATCAGAAATCACATTTAGAAATAAACTGGGCATGTCTGGGGCATACTAGGACTGGTCATATTTCACTAATGACCTAAGTTTCGCACATTCAACTGTACTCAATAGCTTCTCCAGACAGCCATTATTCGTTATATTATTATAATTATTATTTAAAAGCGCCAACAAAGTGCACAGAGTTGTCCAATACGTGGACTAACAAACAAACAAGTTGGACGTACAGTAACACAGGATAGATCTATATTTCTAGATCTATATTTATAAGTCTTTATTCTAGACTTATAAGTAAATATGTGTTGTGGTGGAAGACGTAGAGGGGAATCAATGTCAGCAGGCTATTATTTCACCAATGGTAATGTTATTTATTTTTTTACCAATGATTGTTTATTAATTTTTATTATGACAACAATTATCTGCTGGGACACCTCCCTAAGTGTCCCACAGTATTTATTATAAAGGTACAAGCGCGTTTTTGACCCTGTACCATTAAGGTGGATATATATTGTGGTACTATGAATGCTGATTAAATAAGTTGCTGTGTGGACTCTAATAAAATGGGCTGTGATTGAATATATGTACGTGTGTTAAAGGGTTACTTTAAGCACCATGGCCACTTTAAATCACTGAAGTGGTAATAATGCTTCAACTCTGTTAGTGCAGGATTTTGCTTTAGTTTAACCTTTTTGTTGCCGGAGGTGTAACACCACCTCCAGGAGTGTCATAGGGGTATCATCGGCCAGCCTGGAAAAAGCGTTCTGGGCTGGCTAATGTCAATTCTGTTTACATTTTGCCAGTCATTGGCTGAGAGCTATGCAGAAACAAGAAGTACATCATTCTAGTTCACTAGGAAGCATTGGAGCCCAGCAGTGACCCAGGTAAAGAGGCAAACCATTGTTAAGTGGTTTGCCCTATTGCAGGGAAACTGTGGCAGGGTACTGTAGTGCTTGGGATTCTTGGAGCAGCCCTTTAATTATTCTTCATTTTACTGATATTGCCATAACAGTATGTTGCTGCATATATAAAATTTGATTCTATATACTGTATCCAGATCTAGCTATGCTCTGTATAGTTGCAGCTGTTTTCCCTTACATTAGGTGAAACAAAAAGTGTATGTGTTAAAGGGACCATCAATCTCTTCAGTAGGTTATCATCTAGAACAATATGGTCTTGTATGAAAATGTTGTTCCATTTTGTTTGATCTACCCCCCTTTAGATGAAACCCTTTGATACTCATATTACGACACACAAAAAATACAAAATATGTATGTTTGTGCTATTGTGAAAAATGTGTATTAATAATTACCATCTACGTAAAGGATTCTGTTCAGTTTGACCCACAGTGTGAAGAGATGTGTTTGAGAAGATTACATTGTGCCAACAGATGCTATAAATCAGTGATGCTAACCCTTGGGATTCCAGCTGTTACGGACTATATTTTCCACTATGCTAGTCATCTGGATATCTGGTGCTACTGCAAGCAATCTGTTGTTCAGGTGCGGCTGACGCTTAACTTTCAAACGGAATATTATGCCAGGAACATGACATAAGTTTTAGTTTAACATTAACAATCTGTTTCAGGTTGATTATGTGACTATGATATAATAGCTTTCTGTGTTTCTAACTGATCTAAACTACAGTGAAAAACATAAAGCTAAGCATTTCATATAACACATGGCACACTGCTGAACTCTCCTTTACCAAAATATTTATCTATTAGGTTATCAAAGTACTGAATATGTGTAGATATGGTTTATGATGTTTTTTTCTTTATTTCATTCACTTTTTTGGTTTAGCTGGTTTTAACTACTCTTTCCTTGGAGTTCTCGTTTCATTATCCAAGCTGGAGTATTTTGGTGGTGGTGCCTTTAGTGTAAATCATTCTATAAGAGGGATTGGTTTGGGAAAATCTAGTATAATCGGTAATGGCTGACATTAAGATAATGACCCTAAACGTAAGGGGGTTAAATATCCCAGAGAAACGTACCGTATTACTTAATTAAGTTAGTAAGAGTGCAGCCGATGTTTGCTTTGTTCAAGAGGCACACTTTGCAAAGGGCTCGGCACCATCGTTAAGTTGTAAGTATATATCATAGGTGCATTATAGTAACTACCACAAAGGGAGAGTCAAAAATGGGTCGCAAGAGAATGCTGAGAATGGGCAGCAGCTGAAATAGCCTGCTCTTCGGTTGGTTCCCGCTCAGTTCTCAAGCTGATTTTTGCTCATCTTGTGCCATTACAGAGAGAACATCTCTGAAACATATCAGACTGGTCCCACCCATACGGGCAGTTCTCCGTATTCTCTTGCGACCCATTTTTGACACTACCACAAAGGGAAATCCAGGGGAGTAGCGGTCATATTCTCCAAAAAAGTCAACTTCTCAACTATACAAAGTATTACCGATTTCCAGTATAGATTTTTGTTCATTAAAGAATTATTGAATAATGTTAAATTCCCATTTGCGAATATATATGTACCCAATAAGTATCAAATACCTTTTATAAGACGTATCTCAAATAAGTGGTAGAGTTTTTGGAATATTAGTAGTGGGAGGAGATTGGAACTTGGCATTGGATCAGAAGGGTGAGGTAGAGGCATAAAATGCCTACAAAATTCAAAATATAAACAAAGAACAAGTTAGACATGTGCTGCAGATGCTCCACACTGAAGTTCCAACAGTGAATATACAATAATACAAAACGGTATGTGCACAATGTGGGGATAAGAGAATATTACAGCTCAAAAACGCCTATAAAGTGGTATCCCCTACACCACTTGAAAACACATAACAATACATACATATAATAGGTGGAGCTCTTAGATTCTGTGGATTTTCTGACTGCGGGCGCGCTGCATCCTACAGTCCTTCCGCATCCAGTATAGGTGTGCACACCCAGGTGCTACCACAATTTATTTGAGGACAAAGTTAAAACAGCAAACGTTTCGAGCAGCAGCCCTTTCTCAATGCTAATGTCCTTTTCTGGTTGAAAATTTACTGAATATTGAAGCACAGAGTGTGGTACAATTGACAAGGGTAACATTTTATTCCTATGGTAATAAATGCGGAAAAACATTGGCAAAGGCCCTAAAAAGTAAATATCAAAATTCATATATAGAAAAAATTATAGATGATTCAGGGAAATTGCATATGACGACAGAGGCAATAGCAGAGGTCTTCCGCGTATACCATAAATTATATATCCTGCCTTGCCCATCTAAAAAATATTTTGGGCATGAATATAGAATTTATAATCTCCCTCAGAGAATGCTGAAGGATCAGATGATTGGATTAGGGAATTCTTTAACAGTAGATGAATTTGTAAAGGTAATACATTTCCACGCAACAAGGGAAAAGTCCAGGACCAGATGGTTTCACTGTATTTTATTATAAAACTTTTCAATCACAATTAGCAGAACACTTTGTTAATGTATTTAATTTTTTGGGCTCTAGAGGTGCTATACCACCTCCTATGTTACGAGCATCAATTACGGTGATTACAAAAAAGGCAAAGAGAGATAAAATTGTGGTAGTTATAGGCAAATTTCCTTAATAAATACGGACCTAAAACTATTTGCAAAGATACTGGCCTCTCGATTAAACCCTCCTTGCCTGGACTAATGCACTCTGATTAGGCAGGCTTTGTGATAGGCAGGGAGGTCAAGTATAATACCACTACTTAGTGTAATACATGCAGCTTGTTGTGGAAATAAGGTCTGCACATATTTCCTAGTTAATGAAAATGTCTATTTACTCATTTTTACTATATACAACATAAGCTATGCACACATGTTTTAATCAAGATGGCTGCTAGAAGCCTCTAACCCCTCCTTTCTTCCCCCTCCCTATAACACCGACTAACTACCTCGTGTAGCAAGATGGCGCCGGGAAACCGTGGGAGACCCTCATGGCCCTGGTGACATCACCCTCAGTAGGCAGAGCATTAGAGCAACCACTCAACACCTAACCAATAATTGATGTATTATTCCATGTTATCTCTGACAATGCTTATGATGTAATTTTGCTTTAAAAGGGACCTGCCGTCCCCTCTGAATAAACTTTTCCTCAAGTTATTCAACAACCTGGAACCTGTGTCTGGTGTGAATTACTTCAGGGAGCGTGCACGCATTGTTTCATTGATTTGGCCAGGGGCAGATACACAAAGAAATAATCAATACCTTGATTGATTTTTCCATTTCAATTGGCGCCCAACGTGGGGCCACCGGAGGGCCGGTTCGGAGGGCCGGAACGAACGGACCGGAGTGGACCTCCGGAAAGTGGGACAAGCGGAGCCTGATCACCTCCATAATACAGCCGTTTCCTGTGTTATTCTCCTGTTTTGTGTCGGTCTGTCTCTGAGTCCACTTCCGGCTTCCAGAAGGCTACTAGAGACAGGTAATTAGCTCATCTGGTGTGCCTTTTTAAAGTGAACCTGTCGATTGTCTATCTGCCTCCTGTATTTGTTTGAATGTGTGTGACGGCCGGAGTGTGTGTTTCCCCCCCCCCCTTTTTAAAAGACAATAGCTTGACTGCCTAGCGGGCAGGGAACGCATTTTATATGTTAGCTTGACTGCCTAGCGGGCAGGGAACGCATTTTATATGTTAGCTTGACTGCCTAGCGGGCAGGGAACGCACACTGCCTTTATATGTTAGCTTGACTGCCTAACGGGCAGGCAACGCATTTTATATGTTAGCTTGACTGCCTAGCAGGCAGGGAACGCATTACAGCCGGTGGGGCTGGGATTTTATTTTAGCTTGACTGCCTAGCGGGCAGGGAACGCATTACAGCCGGTGGGGCTGGGATTTTATTTTAGCTTGACTGCCTAGCGGGCAGGGAACGCATTACAGCCGGTGGGGCTGAGATTTTGTTTGATTATTGCAGTGTTTCATTGGTACTTGTGTTATAACGGGACCAGCCTGGTGGGGGAGGGCTGGGGATTGCTACATTTTAAATATTTAGTGCTAGTGGTGTTAACATGTACATGGCCATTTTACTCTCTGTCATTCTGTGGTTTTTGTTTAATTGTTGTTACAGTGTGGGTACCCTTGGTGTGTGTGTGTGTGTAGTGTGGCTAGTTCTGGATTCCGGGGTTTACGCTCATCTCTATATATGTGACTTTTGCAAATGTCTTCTCGTTAGCGTAGCCACGTTCATCTTTTCCTTTGTCCTTTATCTCTCCTGTGTTTGCTGCCCAGAGCTGTGTTAGTCACCCACGCTCACTCGCTCCGGTCCGTGACCACCACCCCGGGTGGGCGGACCCCCGTGACTAGTCTACGTTTTGGGAAGACGCACGGGATCCATGTCCTCGTGGCAGTCGAGCACTGTAGACATTCCTTTTTCTTCTCCCCTGTATCTCCTCTGTATATCTGTCCCTAACAAGTGGCTCATTCCGATTATTTAAGATGGGGCAGGAACATGCTAGACCTGCTAAGGGCTTGTTGGCTTGTGACATTGTGAAAGAAAGGGCGGGGGAAGATGCAATGTCAAAGCTTAGAAAGATTGCTAAGGTGTGTGGCTTCCAGATGCCGCCCAGTGGGAGATTACAACCTGAGTTTTGGAGGAAGTTACTCATAGATAAGGAAGGGTTGTTGTTGGATAATGGGCTCACAAAGGTTGCAGAGGCTTGGTATCGAGTAGCTAGAGGTCTGAAATGGGAAGGGTGGGTCGAGGAAGAGTTGGATTTCGAAGGGCAAACTGTATACGTATACCATAGGAGTGTTAACAATGCTGATGTTGTTTCCGCTGTCCCGCGGCCACCGCCCTATGATGGCGCCCAGAGCGCAACAGTAAATTCCCGCCCTGCTTCCCCCGTCACCGAACAGACCCCACCCCCCGGGGTGTGCCTTTAGCCCCCACCCCCTGTGCCCCGTACTCGGTGCAGATGGTGCTTACTACTATCCAGTGCCACTTCATTCGTTCCCACCCACTCCTATGCACCAACCCCCTCTTGACCCAGCCCCTTCCATCAATCCTTCTCCCGTTACGTCTGTTGATGTTCCCCCGCCTCCATGTCCTCCGCCACCTCTCCCAGTGCCGGCTCCTACTCCAAAACCTCGCCAAGATCCCGTCCTGACCGCTCCCGCTATACACCCACCGAAGTTTCCTCCTCCTCCTCCTCTCATTCCCTCCCCGCCTCGAGTACCCCTTCTCTAACAACACTCACTCCCTCACCCCCCTCGATTGTTTCACACTCTGCCCTCTCGACCCTTGTCCATCCCACCGCCCCCATTCCTCCAGACCCCTGTTCCTCCACAGACCCCCCTTCTCCTCATGTCCTTAACAACCACCTCTCACGCCCACCCCAGCCGGCCCCCGCAGCCACCCCCTCCATGGCATTGGTCCCTCATGTCTCTCCCGTCAGCTCTAGTTGCCCAATCATGGTGGTTGGATCCGAAGTGTCTGTGACGTCGGATCAGCCCTATGCAGTGGGTGCTTCCCCCCAGGCCTCAGGCTTCCACCCAACTACCTCTCCCATCACCGGTCTCCCTGCCGCTCCAGCCACAACTACCCCCGAGACTACTCCTCACCGAGGCCCAGCAGTACCTGAGGAAATTGTTGTGGTGGAACAGGATTCACCTCACCCAGGGGGAAATAGGCTCCCCCAACGGCATTCTATCCCCCAAGGTTATACCCAGATTAACCATGGAGCGGATGGTGCACCGCCCATGTATG